TCAGAGAATGGGAAGAAGTCAACACTGACAGATCCTTTGGAGAGGATAATGTGGAAGTTTTAAGAAATTTTTAATTTAATTTTTTTTTCTGATAACATTTAAAAAATCTCTCCAAACTGTATTTTAGCCATTCAATTTTCAATTTTCTTTGAATTTTAAGGGCACTTTTTCCCCCTGAACTCATACTGTGCTTTTAAAATATAATTTGCTCACCAAAAGTGTGTTTATCTAGTGGATTATCTCAAGCATAGAAAGTTATGCGCATGAAAAGCAGAAGAGTAAGTCACTAGAGAAGACTTTTTGTTCTTTAAGGTTTGTTTGTGGCTTTCTCTACATTTTCTCTTAAATATTTTTTACTGCCCAGTCTATCAGAGAACAGCTCAGAATTTAGACTTGCACCTGCGGATTCAGCACCACAACTTCACTCTTCTTATGGTACCCAAATAAGAGTAAACCAGCCAATTTAGCATTGTTCAATTACACAGAAATGAAGAAGAAACTGATAATTAGCTTAGATGAATTTTGAATTACTGACCTAACTATTATTTACACAAAGATCTCATTTTGACTCTGGTTTTCATGAAGAGATTTTCCACTGTTCAATTACATAACAATTTTTGTATGTGTCTGGTTTCCCTTGGCAATATTTCCTGTGTGAATAAAAGCAGGTGTAATGCAGGTCACCTGCACCAAAGATACAATTTTCTTAAAACCCTAGAATGAGTTTCCAAAGCAGTAGAAAAATTGATTCCACGTTTCTTGAGTTCCTGTTTAGCTCCAATATCAGATTTCTAAAAATAATCTAATAAGAATTCAATTGATTTGTGCTCTGTTCCAAACATCAGGAGAAATGTGATTGCTCCCCCCTCTCCTTCTTTAGAAGTGTACAGATTATCCTTTCCCAACTGCTTTGAATAAGAGTAGCCTTGTTTCATCTGCAGGAACTATAGTCTTTGGGCACAGTATTCAAAAAGAAGCAAAGACAGTTTCTCAAAAAATATTTTAAAAAATCAAACCAGCAAATTTTCTATTGTACTTTTTCTCAAAATGCAGCAGAAGTGAAAAGTTAAATCAGAAGGAATAAAAGTATGTTAAAACAGAATATATGCCTGACATTTCCAGAGTTTGCAAATACGATCTAAGACAGCAAAAGTTTATCTAATAATTGAACTAAACTGTGTGCCAAGATGAGGCTGAAGTCTTCTCAAAATTTGGTTGGGTGTAAATTCTATGTTTTTTTCTTCTGAGGTCACACTGCTGTTACCATTGTGTATGCATGCCTTGAATAGAACTCTCTGGGGGCACAGCAGGTGATTCAAAACTCAAAACACACTGCTAATCTATGTATTCTTGAGAGAAAACCATTCTTCCTGGACTCAGCACAGTGTTCCAGACCTGAACAGCAACATTATCTGTGGCTAGGAAAAATTGTCTGTAATGTATTTCAGAC